TGGCTTAGGGGCTAAAGAGTTAACCAATCAAATGCAAACTATGACCTGTCAGGAACTGATCTCTTATGGTTTATCGGAGTTAAGACCACTTGTAAGTTTAGCGCATTCACTTCCTCACGCATCTATCCTATCTCCTTGTTAAGGTTACTTTGAATTGAACTATCAACAATCAGCTGAGAGGCAGAGTGTACCTCAAAGCTGATTTACTTGTAAACTCTGTCCGGAAGCGTACGCTAAGAACTACTATCAGACTTATCAAGTAATCAACCGATTCTGTTACAGGAGATGGCACCTATACTGTGACTTACATGCCAGAAGTGAATGGTAAACATGAAGTATCTGTCGCCATTCAGGACAAGCCGATCATGGGGAGCCCTTTCACTGTGCTTGTTGTCAACCGCCGAGAATATGCCGACGTCGGCCCGACGCTTCATCGATTTGGTCAGTATGGCAGCAAAAAGCGTGAGTTTAAATCCCCATTCGGAGTGGCGGTTGACAACGAGAGCTACATCTACGTAGCCGATAGCTACAATCACCGGATCCAAATATTCGGTCCACGGGGAGAATTTGTTTCGCAGTTCGGTTCCCATGGAGAGCGCAAAGGAGAGTTTAACTGCCCGACGGACGTCGCCATGGACAGTAAGGGAAGAATCGTTGTCTGTGATAATGGCAATAATAGAATCCAGGTCCTTAGTCGGAATGGCGCATTTATCGGAAAATTTGGTCGTGAAGGTACGGGAAACGGTTACTTTAAGTCCCCCTGGGGGGTTGCGACCTCCCGAAAGAATGATATCTTAGTTGCCGACATGGAGAATCACCGGGTGCAAGTTTTCTCCTCCGAAGGGAAATTCTTGACAAAAATTGGCTGTTTTGGCGATCGCCCCGGGCAGTTTAATTCTCCGTGCTACCTCCTTGTCAATCCGGAAGATGACCATATGTTCGTGTCCGACTCTAAAAATCATCGCATCCAAGAGTTTGACAAAAATGGGAAAGTTCTCCGGCAGATTGGAACCCAAGGAACAGGAGAGGGGCAGTTTTCACACCCCCGAGGGCTTGCCATCGATATCGCCGGCAACCTTGTGATAGCTGACATGGGAAATCATCGTTTGCAGATATTGGCTGCGAGCGGTAAGTTTGTAAAGGAGGCTGGTTCCGAGGGTAGCGGAGACGGACAGTTGTCTTTTCCAGAGAGCGTTGCGATAATGCCAAACAGGGGATACATTGTTGTGTCAGATTTAAGCAATAACCGCATTCAAGTGTTTTAAGGAGAAAATTCATAGCAACTTATTAAACTCTTAGTTAAATGGAGAATGGCTCGTATATTCACCTTTGCGGCTTAATTGTAAGGGTAGCATGTAGGTTTTTTTTTTCCTGCAAAACATAAGGTGCTACCAACGTTGCCTTCTTATTAGAAGAAAATAGTAAATTCATTATTTCCATCGTAACTGTAACAGATTTACGGTTTCCCTTTTTTCCAGAAACCGGAGTTAAGCACCGGCCTAATGGGCCACTAGGCTCGTAAACAGAGTTACTTTACCTTTTTTCCATGACCCCTTCCCATTTTGTTAGAACTTTGATAACAGAAAGAAGAGCCGAGTATAGCCGCCACAAAGATTTTAGGATAAATTCATTAGTGTCATTGCTGAGACCATATATGATGTAATGTGATTCTACGTGATAAACGTTAATTCAAGAACAGATGCAAGAAAGAATTATTTCACGACAGAAATAAAAAAAAAATAAAGAAAATAAGGTAAAAAAAGAGAAGTGTGAAGAAATAAAGCTTAAAGGCATCAGGGATCCTTTTGTGTATACGATGTATGTTATTAATAATGCATACAGAGCGCTTTCGACTGAGTATCCCATTACAAAACCAAGGTAATCTTAAACAGCAAATGAGAACTCAGAGCAAAACCACGCGAACAGAGAATGCGAGTAACTAAGGTGTGAAAAGTTTAAGAGGTGTTGCATGCGATTGGCTGAGAGGTCATAGCACAAGTTTTCTGAACCAATCACGGCGTGGTAATGCTAAGCCATACAGTCCAAGATTCCTTTCGACACTTGGCTGAAAGTTGGGAAAAACTACTTAAAGCACTAGCCTAGGACAGGCTGAAGGAGAAAACAATTCTAATAAGTTAATAAATTAAATATATGAAAATTTATCGATGTATGTAATTTTAACTTCTCTGATCTTTATATCTATTTACGAGTCGTTAATTTTTATTTATTGTCTTATTAACTGAGTTCAATGTTATCTATTGTACGAACATCTCATTGTTGTCATTACAAGTAATGTGGTGTTTTATGGCAAGTAATTAATGTATTGGTACTAGGTTAAACTATTTATTCTTAACTTTTATTACACAATGTAAAAAAAATATAAATAAGAACAGTTAGCACACAATTGAAACTTAGCAAATTTGGATCACACCTCATTTAGGAAGTGAAATTTACCAATTGACCAAACAATTTCAACAATATTATACTTCCTTTTTGTATGCAGAGTTTATTTTGTTAAGACTATTTACATGACAGTTCACTTGATTCCAATATATTCAAAATTCCAGTCAAGAATTGTATAAACTGACTCTTAGTTACCGAATCAAATTTGTGTTGTTTGGCACCAAACTTGAAATTATGATCGTTATCAGTAGGGTAAATCACCTCTCTTTCTGGCATAGACAAACCCAGAGACATGAACTATTCAGATGTAACCTTGCAAGGATGTATATTCTATATGAGCTAATAAATCTAAAAAATCAATAAAGACACCACTTCAAACGACAAATAATCAAATATTGCTCTCTCTTAATCTCGTAACCAGATCCAACCGTTTAACTGTAACTAAACAACCATTTGGCCGTGGGAGGTTTGGGTACCAGACTAGCTCTCGTAGATCAATCTTTCGTATCCTCGATTTATTTGATATTTGTAGTATCTCGATGCACTACCTGAAATTAGAATTTTGATATCAGTACCCCTGTAGGTCTTACGATTGTTCAAAGTTAGGTTTTCTTTGTCCTTCAAGTGCACCCAAACTCCCAAACATAATAAATTGGGACACTTCGCTATGACAACGTCCAAAGTTCTTTCGCCCCTCTCTCCCTTTCAGTGATGTCAATTGTCAATGTGTCGGTGCTAACTTGCAGAGGGGCAAAGAGGCACGGGAAGGAGGATGGGGGAGTATGTGTACCAACAAGTGTGTCTGAGAGAGTCAGCTCGTCATATCATTTCAACTTTAAATTTCATTACCTCGGGATGGTGACGTCAGTTCACACGCCCGTGTCAAAAAGCCCAGTGGCTACATAATTGAATTGAAATAATTACTCATCAATTTTTTCTTGACTAACATTTACTTTTGTAGACTACTTGAAGTCAGTCTCTTCGCTCCTACAGTCAGACGAGCTTAAATGTCTGCCAGCGTGCGGGAAAAATGGACTAAAAGGGGACGAGGAGGGGGTTTGCGTTTAAAGTGCATCCATTGTCTCTCTCCGCCCTCCATCCAAGATAAGCTGGTATCACATCATAAACGGACGGCCCGAGAGGTTTTCCGGTCTGCAACTTCGCCGAAGGTTAGTGTCGTTGTGCAAGCTTAGATCACCGGTGGTGTGCTAAGCGTGACGGGTTCGATACCTTAGTCGGTGGCCTGAGCTGTCTTTGTCTTTGTCACGAGCTCGCGGCTTCTAATTTAGAGTTTAAGTGATTTAGAGCACCCTATAGTCGTAAAATCACAAAATGACCTCTGTAGCTTCAGAGATGGAAACAAAAGTTTCGAGGTGAAAGCCATTTTCAGTATAGAGCCATCTTAAGTGTGACGGGATTAACACACCTCATAATCACTTAAAAATCATGAATCTTTCTTTTTATCAATCAAAACAAATCCAGAATCTTTACAGTGATTTCATAAATAACTCCGCTCTACTTACGCATGAACTCTTCAAAGTTACAAACATCCAATATGGATAACTCTCTAGAGTCGATCTTGAACGGAAAACGATTTGTATTTCTCAGAACGAAATTTCATTTTGAGTGAGCGGCTATAATGGGGTCACATTAAGGTGTACAAAATTTGAATATTTTCTTTTTCTCTGTCTCAGAGAAATTGTTTAAGAGACCTTTAGATTATTCTACGACTATGACAACGAGTTCGAGAGGGCGGTTATACAGCAGTAGCCGTCAACAGTGAAGAGAGAGTTTTGAAAAAATGGCTTAGCCTCGAAAACAAGATAACTAAACGTGAAACATTTTCAAAGTTTTTACAACAGGAACCAGAAATATTCAATCTAGTGTCGAAAGTAATCACGGATAATATTGGTTTTACTTTTCAACGCTCGGCGATTGGTCCAGAAAGTTCGTGCCATGATCTCAACCAATCAGATTTAAAATCAAACCCAATCGCGACTTAGTCACGCGTGTTTTCCCGCGCTTTGAGCTGTCCGCTTACTTTTACTTTAATTCTCATTGGCTAGTTATGATATTTTCCTTTCCTCTGATTGGCTATTATGATTAGTTTGGTTTTGGTTTTGCGGCACTCAACACTCAATAGAAATGCCCTCTAAGTCCCAATGTAATACTTGGGCAAACTTCGTTGTCCAATAAGAGTACAATTTATCTAGAAGTGTATATTTCCTTACTATTTTGCTTTTAACTTGAATAATAATCTCTGACCCGTTGTCGCACTTGTCCCTGGATCTAAAGGTCTCGTTTATTTTATCCTTTGGATATTACTTTCCTTTAGCGCTGTATACTCGCAGTTATTTCGTTCAGCAACTCTGTTCTTATTAAACGCCTTTGAGGCGATGGAAAAAAAAATAAATAGAGACGATTATTGCCTATTTTTTGTACGCGCACATGTCGTTCAGAGAGGCCATACAAATTGATTGTGTATGCAGTTTTAACCGTCCGAGTTCAAAACTCGGAGAAAAATCTTGCTCTGATTGCAGTTGATCCACTAGGATCAATGGACGTCGCTCGTTAGGTTCGTGTGCGTGAGAGCCGTTTGGCGGCAACTTGCCCCAGTTCGATGCAGGCCGAGGGCTGGAAATGGAATCCTATTCTGTCAAATTCAGACCTTTATCCGCATCGCTGAAAAATATAAACCAAAAAGCAATATGACGAAAAAATGTAATTCGTGATAAACTGTACAACACTTCATAACATAGCTGAAGAGTGTTGTTTCCTGTAAACCCGGAAACGAGAGAAACGCTTTCAAGTTGAGCATAATCAGAATCTGTTGGTGTATTCTGGTAGGCAGGAGTCACTACGAAAGGTACGAATCATTTGGTAAAGATTGAAAGCTCAAAGCGCGGGAAAACGCGTATGACTTGTGACTGATTGGTTGAGATCTTGGCGCGAATTTTCTGGACCAATCACCGAGCGAAAGGAGAGATTAGTACGAGTACTTTTTAGCACACGAATCACATTTTCCCGCGCTTTAAACTAAGGTGCATACATGCTCCACGTTTCCATTGGTTTTTAGGATTCTACGGGCTAATTGAGCGTTGGGATAACAATAGTTTCGATTCCGCGATGCTTAAAGAGCTCTAATGTCTATCCAACTTACTTTGGAAATCCGAGGCGTGACACGATTTCTCGCACATTTCTAATAAGTCCTTCATTTTCTTGCGGCGAGTCCAGTATAACTGAATACAGTCTAGTCATATATGAGTCAATAGTATCTAAAGTGGGAACTTCGTTGGTCCCAGGAAGCACCAAGTTCGCAAACGCTTGCACAAGAGCTGTGCGAAGATTGCTCAGATGATTGAGTAATACTATGTTGGCGTTTCGTTGTTGATTTGTTTCCATTTCGATTTTTTCTATGGCTTGTTTTAAGCTTTCCACGTGTTTAGAGGTGAGTGAGTTCTGTTCCTCAAATTCGGTGGCCGCTTTACGAAGCTGTCTCAGTTCGTCTTCACGCACTAAGAATAAAGTTGAAGAGAATTAACAAAGCAGACGCATGATAAAGATTACAATTACCATAAGAGTTGTCATAACACATTGTCATGTTACACACTGTAATTTCCTGTTTGGACACACTGACCACTCGGCTAGCGCGCGAACTTCAGGATTATAAGGTTTAGGTTCAGGTTCGGATTATTGTGTCGAATCATTGCGTTGTTTTTTTAGAAAGACACTTACACCCTCAACGTAGGCATAAATGGGTATTAGCGAACTATGAGCGATATTTGAAGAATTACTAGGAGAGAAATTGCGATGGGTTGCCATTTCCTTTCAAGGGAAGTGGAATACCCGAGGTCACCTTAAATGAATAAATAATAAATAAATAATTTAGCAATGGACATTCCACTGGGTGGCTCTTCTTGTCCACTGTTTCCAGATCGAATTGGAATTTGGAATGTTGGTTTTTGCGGAGGGAGGAAAACCGGAGGACCCGGAGAAAAACCCTCGGAGCAAGGACGAGAACCAACAAACTCAACCCACATGTGACGCCAGGTCCGGGAATCGAACCCGGGTCACAGTGGTGGGAGGAGAGTGCTCTAACCACTACGCCATCCCCTGCTCCCCCAAAAGATATATACTAAAGAAAACCGGAAAAGAACCGGGGATGCGAGCTGGAACAAATCAAAGAATTTTTATGAGGGGGGAGGTCAGATTAATTTTCGACGAACCCAAGCTCACCCCCACCCCCCCCCCACCCCTTAATCTGCGGTTACACCGAAAAAAGTCTGACAGTTGAGTCGTAAATGGGATCCTGTCATTGCAAAATCTTGATTTCAGACAAGTTATGAAAAAATCCTCAGAAGTCTAATGGGGGTGGGGGGGAAGTCTGGACAGCTCGGATCCTCATTCTGAATCCGCGATTTATGAGCCACTAGGATTTAGTGCTGACTTTATCTTTAACGTCTACCTTACGGTGTACATACTTTCATTGTGTTTAAGGAACTCTTCCGTGAACACGGGAGCGTTAAATCCAGGTAATTCATCTTCTTCTTCACTTTCGTTTAACTTTCCAGACACTGTCTGTTTGTGCTTACGACCAAGGATGTGTTCTCTCTTGTTGTGAAGGTTGTTAAAGTACTGATTGCAAGGTTTGCAATAGAGATCGTCTTCTGCACAGAGCTAAAACGAAGAATAAATAGAACAGGCAATTTATTTTCATACACTATATTTGGGAAATGTCTTGAGGACGTGAAACGAAAGTATTTGAAATCGCCGTGTGACCTTGATTGTTCCCCGTTCGATACATATGAAGCGAGCCAGGAAAACTTGGTCTTGTAAATTAAATCGAGGCTCTTGCGATAAGTTTCCCATGAAATAAATTGGTGAGGCGACAAATAAGTTTTCTCGTTCACTTGCTGTTTCAACGAAGTCCCATCGTCCAACTTCGTGATAGAAACACGTAAAAAATGGAGGGGAAAAAGTTAAACGGCGAAAGAAAACTATTTTTTTTTATTGTTGTAGTAGTTTATTTTGTTATCGAACATAGGCCACTAGAAACGAGCAACTTTTCTTCAACTTACTTCAATTCCATTTGATAAGCCATCTAACCCGTCAGAGTTCTCCAGATCTGAAAGAAAACCACTACGTCATGAACTAACGAGCTGTTACCCATACTCATACTAACTGCATGCGACGAAATGCTAAATTAAGAGATCACATTCAGTCGAGTAGGATGCTCCATATTTAACCTTGCATTTCCTGAAGAAATCGAGATCAGAGCAACGGAGCAGTAAAAAGAGCGTGAAATGAAAAGAATAGAACCTGCCACGACACCAAGGAAACAATACACTTACTTTTTCTTTTCCGTTCCGCTTGCTTCTTCAAAAAGTTCTTATAAGCATCTGTTTTCTGGTATGCTTCTAATTCCATCATGTATCTTTCTTTATCTTTCTCTGCTTCATCTAAATATCGCTGAAATTCGAAAAATTAAATAGCTGCAGTAGGCACAAAGTTATTCTTAATATTTGCATTTGAACTTTGAATTTAGTGCCTGAGCAGTGCCTTTACCCCCGGAGGTCTCTCAAATGAAGGCGTGTTGCTTTTGCCTTCGTACCTTAAGGCAACATCTCATTGTTCATTTTCAACCTCCATCAACACAAGAGAGCTTTTTTGTGACCCACATTAAGAGGCCAGCTTAAAAATAAACTCCTTTTATTCATTTCATACCTGCATAGCACTGTTTTATAAAACTGACGGAGCCCAAATAGATTCAAACGAAAAATGATTGAGACCACATATGATGACTGGACATATAGCTGTGGCAGTCACACCCTAATTGGGGCTTCCAGTATAAAAAGATGGTTAAGTTCTTCATTCTGAAATCCAATAGAAAGACCTAGTTGGGGTTCAAAACAGACATATCATAGAACAGTTTGGTACATTTACACTGTACCATATCGGCCACTGGTAATAAACAGGACAAAAATGCCAAGGTAGGGATGAGCCTGAAAATAGGAAGCAAAGGTGCAGGCTACTGTCATGGGATTCTATTATTGCCAGCACAAATTGAATCAAAGCAACAGTCTGCCCACAGGCTTGGGACCAGGAGATTCTAAAGCCAAAATAAGTAACAACAGGTTACAGTAAACATGCTTGTCAGTAAAGTAGCAGAGTCTTGTCATGGTTACACAAGCCCTTTCTGAGAGACAGAAAATGGGAGGCAGCTGTCTGTTTCAGAGGAAAAGTCTTCATTGCACCAAGAAGGTTAAGATGAGGGCAGTGGGTTTTAGACATTACAATCAAAATATTCTTCAGAAAGAAGTGAAATTCCAATGATTTGAGGGGAAGTAGTGGGTGAGTGAAAACAAACAATTGTTCTGTGTGAAGGATGCAAATTTTATGCATAAATGGTTTGGTATACTAATAGTCTAAAAATGAAAGTCAAAAAGATAAAAAATAATAGCTTTTGGGTTCCCTTTACTTTGTTCCAAAATTTATGGATATTTTTATCACCCTGTACAAGCTATAATGTAAATTTTGGAGCATTAATTATCAGAATCTTGCAAATATTTATAAACAAACATACTTGTTTTCCTTCTGTAGAAAGCTTACTCCACTGTGCACCAAGCAGTTTTGTAACTTCTGGGAAATTTAAGTCTGGGCGCTCTGCTCTGACTTTTTCACGCTGCTCATTAAGGAATCTTACATATCCAGTTAGGGGTGCCTTTGGTGCATTGCTGTCACGGAATGTTTTACGACGTTTCTTTCCCTTTGGCCATCCTCCTTTCTTTTTCTGAACATACATGTACTTTATGAGACAAAGACAACAACCAATTAATGGCTAGGTACAACCATGATACTCATAAACATAATCAGATGGTTAAAAAATTCTCCAAACTTGTCTGCAGAACACTGTAACAAAACATTCCCCCACCCTCTTGTCATCCTTGCTTAAAAACAACCCAATTTGATTTTTCAAAATTCAGCAAAAAAATTGTAGACTTCAACAGGAGGCTCTGGGTAATAAAGTGGAGAGTCAAGGTGAGTTCCTCATGAAACTTTTAACAAATTCTGTTGTTTGACACTGAATTTTAAAATATTGAAATTGGGCTGTAGATATGCTGAATATTTACAATACAACAACGGGTGGTTTATATCACCAAATGAGTAAGCTTACAGTACTTGTTAAAATTTCATTGAAATTACTAAGAGGAAACAAAAAAAGCTTTGAAGTCATCTCAGTCACAATCAACTGAGCACGTGTCTTTGCTATCATGCTAGTACAAATAATAATTTGGCTATACGAAACAACCTTTGTACTTTCAATAATTGTAATAGTTGAGACACAGTCTCACAAATGTGAAAAGAAAAGCTTACAACTTTACACCTCTGTCCCAGGTGTTTTGTGAAACTTTTCTGAATAATTAAAACAAGTCATGACTACGGTGAACTTTTTATAACCAAGAAATGTGAAACAGGGAATGTCATAAAAAAAATATCTCACCCCTGATTTCTCCACATCACCATGGGAGTTAGACACAGTTGTTGTGGTCTGAGTCTCCTGACAAACAGTTTCCTCTGCTGAGCCCCCTTCACTTTCTCCACCACTCAAAATCTCAACTAAAAACAAAACCTTTTTAAAAATACTATATATGTTGTATATGTGTAGATGTGAATTGGCTAAAATATGGCCCATATCAGAACCAACACAAAGGTAACAGCTGCTCTAAATTAAGGCTGCTGAAGTCAGATTTGAGGATTCTGTTATTGACACAACCTGTAGGTTGCCCAAATTTGTGACCTATGTTTTGACTTATGTCACAAAGTCAGTGACCCAGATTTTTCTCTACTTGTCAAGGTGACCAAAATGGTTGTAGCTTGGAGTGCTGGGGAAAAGTACTCTTCACCTGTGTAGGATATACTTATAACAAATACTGGCCAGGCTAATTTCCTTGTATACCTTGACTGAGGTCAGATACAAAATCTGCTTCAGATGTTGGTAAAGTTTGACTCCCTTGAGATGCATGATAACTGGGGACTCCATTGTGAGTCGTAGCTGTAAAATGTAAACTGTAAACATAACAAAGACATAGTTAAAATTGTAAGATGTGAGTGGTCCAGCAGTCAGTGTGCTGGACTCTGGGTTGGATGGCCCAGGTTCAAGTCCTGGCTGGGGCACTATGTTGTGTCCCTAAGCAATTCGCTTCACTCACACTGCTTCATCTTCTCAGATAAGACATAAAGCCATAGGTTCCGTCTCCTGCAGAGTTAGGGGTAGGAGATGTTAATTTCCCATGCACGAGATTACTGTGTGATGGATGTCCACCCCTGGGGTGGGATGGGTGGGAAGATGAGATTGTTACATGAACTGAAGTGGCTGCCAGAGGCATCTGATAAAAAACTGAATAAACTGAATCAACCTTAACCTTGTTGTAAAGCGCTATTGATCAGCACATGTAAATATGCATTATATAAATTGGTAAATTATTATTATAAAATGGGTTAAAAACAATTTTAAAAAGAGATGTTCCTTTACAGAACCACACTTTAACAAAAGAACTAAATGCACAAGCCACACTTGAGTTAAGAATCACTGCCAAATTGTGATAGATCATAAATAAATTAGCCAATGAATAGGAAGGTTAATGATGGGCTATATAACCCACTGACTCTTAAGATTGACTATCATCTAAATTCTCCTTAAAATATCACCCCTAAATCACACGGCAAAGTCCCAAGATTAAAGGAAATAATCACCCAATGAAGAAACTTTTGATTATTAAACAAATTCTCCTTGTGAAAACCTCAGGAAATGTTTAGAGAACAATATAGAGAATATGCATGTAAGGGGATAAAGGAGTGGGGAGTATTTTCCCAAAAGATTTGGGCCTTAAATATTTCCAATGAAAAAATACTTGTGTACTCCTTTTCAGGCCGAGTAAGTGTTTCAAACAAGTGATTCCATCACTTGTAACTCAGACCATAAACTGTATAAGCTCTTGCCTCCTCATAACTGTAAACTCAATCTGAGATGAAAGAGGAAATTTAAGGTTCCTCTGGCTAAGACGAAGAGATAGACTCATGAACACATTTATATATAGTAATTGTAGTAAATTTGTGAACATTTTTTCTTATATTTTTATCATACTTTTATTAGATTTTACTATAATTGTAATGATTAATCTAATTCAGCTCTTGGCTGTGATTTTAATCAGAATAAACTATATATCTGTTTGTTTTATTGATAATTCTGCAAGATAACAGTTATATCTATGTTATATAATCATAAATAGTTCTAGTGTGCTCCTCAAAGATTGACTCTTGATGATTTCTAGGAACTTCTAGAAGGGCTATTCAAAATTCTTTGGTGACTTGTCATTGATAATCAAGGACAAAAAAGGCAAAATTGCAGTTCTTGACTGTTTTGTTGTGATCAGATTCCTCTATGGGATAGAAGAACCCTTCAAAATTTGCCTTGCAACCAGTGTGTGGCTTGATAACTCAGTTGGTAGTAGAGCCCAACTAGTATCAGGGAGGTATGGGTTTGAATCCATTCAAAGCCTGAATTTTTCAGGTCTCTTTTCTCCAATTGCTCAAATTGGGGCACACTTACCAAGATCATTGCTTTACTTGATTTCAACTGCAGGTCAAATAAAACTTACTTCATTTAAAATCTTTAACTTTGAACTTACTTTAAAAAAATACAGATGCATGGAAACAGAATCTGAAAATTAGTCCCATAACTGTGAAATGCATTTTGTGCTGCAGCTTGAATGCCCAGGAAGTATATAATTATGATCATGTAGTTGCACACTGTGTTTACTTTTGTCAGATGCTAAATTATGAAAAATTTTAGTAACAGAGGACCTCTGTTTTGGTGGTTGTCACCATGCTAAAAATAAAAATAAAAAATTGCTCTAGTCATTTATTTACAGCTAGCAATGAGTATACTTCTGTTATCATAGGCCTCTGGTTGTTGCTGGGTGGATAACGTTATATCCTGGATAAACAACTATCTTGGCCAAGTAGTTCACAGCTAGGTTAAGATATCCTGTGGTTAGTGTGAAATCTAATTTTAGTGCTTCCAGTATCATTGGCTCTGGTTGTTCAAAGGATGGATAATGCTATCCTCTGGGTAAACAACTATCTTGACTGGGTATTTTAAAGCTAGGTTGAGATAACCTAGGATTAGTGTGAAATCTGATTTTAAAACTGAAAGCTTTAAAAGAAATTTAGTATAATTCTTTTTGCCTGCAATTTGATTATTGAATGCTCTAAAATGAATAAAGAAAATTATCCTGAAAAGGTGTTTGAACAAAGGAATAAATTTGACCTTGGGTGAGTGCTGCTCGACCTTCTAACTGGGCACTGGCAGATAACACAGTATATTTTGTCAACCCTTATCTGCTGAGCGACCTTGTTCACAGCTGGGTTAAGATAACCCAGGGTTAGTTTGAAATCGGATTTCAGATCTGAAAGCTCTAAAAGTAAATTCCATTTGATTTTTTTGTCTACAATTTGATAATTGGATGCTCTAAAAAGAATAGAGAAATTTATGGTAAAAAGGCTTTTGAACAGAGGAATGAAGAAGCCCAAATTAAAATTTAACCTTGGGTGAGCATTAATTGGCTTTCGAACAACTGGGCCCTCGATAACAATTTATCCGTTGGACAGCGTTATCGTATCCACTCTTTGAACAATTGGGCTGAGTTGTTCAAAGCTGGGATAAAATAACCCAGGGTTATGAAATTTGATTTCAGTTCTGGAAGCTTTAAAAGAAAGTTCAATTTAATTCTCTTTGTCTACCATTCGATGATTGCACGCCCAAAAAGGAATAGGGACAATGACCCTAAAAAGGCACTTGAATAGAGAAATAAAGAAACCCAGATTAATAACTTGACCCCGGGTTAGTGCTATTAGGCCTTCAAACAACTGGGCCCTAAACACAACAGGGCCTCGATGTATATATACTATGATGTCAATGATCATTTTTACCTTCTCCTTATATTCTTAATGTCCCCTTGAGCAGAAGGAAAAAATAGCTCTAGCTAAAATCTTGGAGGTTATAGAGTTCAATTTAAAATCCTGTTTGTTACCAACCTGCCGTCTTCCCCAACAGTCGCTACGGCTAATTCGCTGGAATCCCCCACGTGTTTTACATCCACGGGATCAAAACTGGAAAGAGCAAAGCCGGGTAGGGACGTTACAGTCGTGGTCCCATCAAGTGTTGGGGTAAGAACCGCCAAGCCAGTCGACCCAGGCACAGAGGTAACAGAAAAGGTTGCTAGAGAGGTGCTCGATATAGCCTGTGAGTCCAGAACCTGTGCTAGTGCAGTGGCAGTCGCACAACTCGTTCCGTTTACTAGCGAAGAGTCGGCGTGCAATGTGGGGTTGTCTTCAAGGTCCATGGCTGTAGCTCCAAGAGACACGCGACTTCTTTTTCCTACAGGAAGTGAGTTTCTCGTTTGTTTTTTTTGGACGGAAGTGATTGTCTGGACTATTTTTTAGAGGGGGGTAAGGAGTTTCGTCTTTGGGATCAATCCCAGTAAAATGGCGGTCAAGCCTCAATAATCCGAACCACCCTCGAAGGCTAAAGGCAAGAGTATCAAGTTCCCGGATAAAGAATTTTGTATTAGTTATATGACCATTGAGAGCCTTCGATGGATAACCGCTGATCATTTCTGAGCGAGCAATGGGACAGCAAAACCTGAGCCGGGAAATTCGAAATGTACTTCTGCAGCTGGAGGATTATAACGACAGAAACTTTTGCGACTCCGCTCACCACTTTTCACAAGGTAAGCTTTCCGCAAAAAACTTCTTAGAAGACATTTGCCGCCTCCCGGTTAGCTCAATGGACAGAGCGCCGGACTGTTGAGCGGGAAGTACGTCGAGGGTTCGAGCCCGGCCGGACCAACACTCAAGGTCTTAAAATTAAATAAATAAATAAACTTTAATAGCTAACACAATTACTGGTAACGCAGTAGTTTACATTGAGGGCTGTATTAAAAAGAATTGTAAAAACTAGATTATCGAGAACAGCATGCACATAAATATATTCAAAACGTTCCAGAGATGGTAAAATGTTCACGATCTGAATTACTTTGTAGAAAATTGTTCTCTAAAAGTTTCCTAAAATTGCTTTCATCTGTAACAGTTTTAAATTTGTCGTCCAGGCGGTTCCATAAGTAAGTGGCACTCGCATGAAATGTTCGAAGGCCCACGTTGGAGCGACATTTCGGCACGGCGAGATGATCATGGAAAGAAGCTCGCGTATTATAAGAATGGGTGTTTTTTAGATAAGTTCTACAGCTTGTAAAATAATGCGGACACTCTCTGTTCACAATTTTGAACGTCATGCACAATTTCTTCATGTGTGTTACATCATCAATTGGCATCCATTGTAGTTTCTTGAACATTTGAACATTGTGAAAACTAGCATCTAATATTAACCTACTACAACGTTTCTGCACTTTAAGTATTCTTAACAATTGGTCTGAAAAATTACTGAGGAGAATGTGCTACCTTTCTATAATATCAGGAAATGGATAGGCATTCTAGTCTTCTCGGTAAGGACGAATAAACCGTAGGTCTCTTCTCCTGCAGGGTTGGGGTAGGAGACGTTAATTTCCCACGCATGAGATCACTGTGTGGTAGATGTCCTCCCTTGGGGTGGGGTGGGTGGGTACTAGGGCCCGCAGTAATTGGCGCAAGCTGTTGCGGGGTCCCTGCCTGTCGGCGAACCTACTAAATTAAATTAAAAATTAAAATTTTTATTTCCATTAAAAGGCATATGATGTCGTTGATCTAGTATGGTTCTGAAGTTCACCAAAATGCGATCGATCGCATCGTTCGCTAATTCATTTACGAGCTTTCCCCGAGTTAGAACAGGACATCTCTCCGTTATGTTCATCAAAACTTTAGGTTGTATCATCGTTATGTGCATATAACGAAGAAATGTCGTTGAACTATGTGTCTTTGCCTTTATTTTGCATCCATGTTTCGTCTTGCATTTTAGGGAAAATTGTGTGGAGAAATACAAGGGCGATTTTGCAAAGTAATGCTGTGGATAGGCGGTGCAATGCACAGCCCGTAATGCGTTGTCAGGAGATTGAAATAAGAAAAAAGAAAAAAGAAAAAAGAAAAAAGAAAAAAGAAAAAAGAAAACAGAGACAAAAAAAGCAAGGAAAAAAGAAACGCTTGTGCCACGTTACCGTGAAAATTGCCCTAGTTTGGAATGGCCTCGCAGTTTGTTTGGCCTTTTAATCTGGCCGGATTGAATTTTGAAAACCTTTTGTCATTTCTTTAATTGGCTTAATTTATCCAGTTCCATTCGCGGATGTGAAGGTGAGAGTGGTGCCATACCATTTATTTAGTCGTTTTCGTCTCAGTGCTTCTCACCGGCAGCGCATACTTTGGGTGTCAGTCTTCGATTACTTTATCATGGGTTGATTACCTTTTTCATTGGTTTTCTGAGAATCAGCAACTAATTATTTAAATGAATTCAAAATAAATCAGAGTAAGCGCTTTTTTTTCAGTCTCTCTGACAAACTTTTCATTTGATAGACATTAAAGACAGTAACACGAGAAAAGGTTTATAAATCAATTGCAAGTGGCAAGCTTTCCTCGTGTACTCCTTACATCCCGCATGGATTTAATCACTTTACAAAACCCTGCAAAATGTGTGATTCTGTCACATAACTAGCACACAAGACTCTTTTAGGTAGATGTTAGATGAAATATATCTTTTTAATAAGCGTAGCTTCTAGAGTAAAAAAGATCATCCAGGACCTTTCTGTGTACAAAGCTTCACTTATTTAGTGTTGAATAAGATCATTGACATGACATTCTAATAATTAAAAGGCTTTTTTTCCTTTTTTTTTAAAGATCATTGATATGACATTCTAATAAAGGCTTTGTTACTTTTTTTTAAAGGCTTGCATCGAGTGAACGACGTGCATCAAATGGAAAAAAAAGGGACTGAAAAACGCCACTGAGAATATCTTAGTAGTTTGCGCTAACGTCAAGTAGTTGATTTACTCAACGAGTTTGCGAGGCCTAACTGAGACATCCACTATGATATAAACACTGTCCTACAAAAATTAAGGAGGCTAAAGGTTTCTATCAAAGAGTTTCGCCAGACGACTTCCTTCTAGGGCAAATACCGACTACATCATCGATGTCATATATGTGCTTCTTTCAGGTGATGTACTGATGCAGCAAAACACACAGATATTTCCGAAGCTTTTATATGTATCTGTTGTTTTCCGGTTTCCTTGCACTAAAATGTAGTGGCCCTTAGAGCCCAATATATAAGTTTATAAGCTATGGCTGGTTAGTTGGTTCTGACTCTCTCTATCGAGTATGCAAGTAGAGAAAATAAACTGCTCTTGAACTGAAATTCTAAGTTTGTTCAGTTAACGTGAGAGCTACGAGATATGGGGGTTTTTGACACTTAACCCAAGTCACACAAAATGAAACAGTAATAAAACGTACCGCGTGTATATCACATTGTACTAAAGTCAGTAATTTTATATTTTCATATTTCTTCATTATTTAATTGTATCCCGATATAAGAAAACTGCTCGATACTAAAAGATTGTATCACTTTGGCCATGGTGGTTGAAGGATGTTTGGTGAAAGGACCTTGAAATTTGGCAGTTTTTTCCGGGTGCTTCTCCGTTATTCTGTGTTTCTCAGAACAAGATTCTGTGGTTGGGTGTGAAGTACTGAGATGCACTAGAGACAATTGATATCAGTTTTTGGAAAATAGAAGTGATGTGTGCCAAATAATCAAGGATTTAACCCTACTTTAAACCAGCACCTCGAGAGAGTATTCACAATTCCCATCACTTCTTGCCGGTAAGAGAGCAGGATCTCTTAGAACTTTTTAGCACAAGTGAATTAATTAATACTTGCTTTGACACCACTGTGTCTCGATCTTTGTAGCGGTTATTTTAGTTGTGCCATTTTAACCTTGCTTTCTTTTCGTGAATTCTATTTCATATTTTTGTGATTTCCCCTTTTTCATCATTTTCCACGTACACTTGTTCCTTGATACACTGAACTAGATGCTCGAATGCACATGAGGCTTTTGAGTCTTCCTTTCCGATATCTTCCTTTCTTCTGACAGCATCAAAGAGAGTCTGTAGTAAATTAGTGAAACGAAATTAAACCGTAACGTTCAGTAGTAAGACCAGTCTTTGAAAAATCTCTTATTTCGACGAACAGTAAAGCAGACCGCTCAAAACGAAATAAAATTTCCACTTCTTTAAATTCTTTTTCAGGATAGCATCGGGAAGATAGGAGAGAAAGCAACGTTGTCATGTAAATATAATCGTAATTTATTTCTTAACCATTATTTGTAGGTTAACTAGGAGGGTAAAGACAAGCAGAAAAAAAACTACGCAAGTTGATATCTCCATGGATTGAAAGTTGTCAACTTTCTACTTTTTTTTTCAACCACGTTGCTCGGTTTCCCCCTTTAAGCTCCCAAGAGTTATTTGCATTGATTTTCCTTCCAGTGTTGGAAATGTGATGGGTAAAGGTCACGAGAATCAAAGAAATTCTCACCGTAGTTGTCACGAGACTGAGATACGGAGAGAGACCAGTGGGGAGAATTAAATGTTGACCAGAGCTTAAAGGGTGAAAGGAGCGTATGTCAAAGTTTGGGTAAGTTCGTCCTTTCCCATCCGTTTTTTGAGTTCAAGGAAGTTGTACACGTCTCAGAAATGATTCAGAATATTTTGAGGTTGCCTCTTTATTAACTTGCTTTAAGTGTTAAACCTTTGCGAGGATAAGCATGCACAATTTAGGGGTAAAGGGTTTTGATGAAGAATCCACCGTGACATGGTGATTCAATGGAATCTTAAACCTTCACCACTTGATCAGGATTCTGCCATATATGACTTTTATGACCTATCATAAGTCCACTTTCGGTACCTCCGCTTTGTCATGATTTTCAGTTCTTCCCCAATCTCTTTCCATTCTGAGTTGGTGGCTTTGCTGTCACCAATTCATCTCCTGTTAGTAAAGTAATAGGATGTGTGCTTTCAGTGGCGATATTTCTCTAACGAGAATGCGATGTAATGAGTCGATGAGGCAAAAATCGTCCTCATTCGTCCAAGTTTTTCTTCAATTTGATAAAAAAAAAAATCACTGCCACAGCAATCATAATTTCTTGACGAAATGAAAAACCGAGCAGGTAATGATCAACCTAAAAGTGCGACGTTTGTAAGACTGTTTAGGGATCAGAATGATTAAAATATACGATCTCGGCACTCCTTGGCTACTTTTAGGGAGGGTTCGGTAGACTCCATCCGTATTTATCCCTGTAGATTGTGAAATAAAATGCGTAAGAAATGACCAAAAACTAAATAAAAAGACTTTCTGTAATAGTTATGGTGATTATATTTCCTTTGCCAGCTGCGCGGTACAGAACATATCTCTATCTTGTAGTGGAGAGTCATTAACCTCGAAACGACCTCGACTCTCTCATGCTGAATCCAGACTTCATTCATCTGGTAAGAAATCGTTTGTTATTGTCAACTAAATATATTGTTAGTTTGCTGTTACCAAAGAAGTGAAGCTACAATATATTTAACTAGTTTTGTTAACTATCCTTTCCAACTCATTCTATCTCGATTGAGTCGCTCTTTGAAAGGTCACACGAAAGACAGAAGCGTATATTTTAATTTTTCACAAACAAATTAATACATAAATTTAATATAGAGAATGTTTCATCGTGGAAACCGTCCAACGAAGCTTGTATGTATCTATTTTTAGAAGAAAGAAAGACTGCCGAAATTGATAGTAGGAATGCAAAGGCAAATCAGTTTGTGATCTTTTTTCAGCGGAATGATAAAACCTCCCTTTTCATCTCCCGCCCTTGGTCACTCGTCGAAGGAGACGGCATCTCTGCTTTTAGAAGGCGTGGCTTTTTTCACTCAGATGATATTGTATCGGTGATCTCTTGTGTTTTGCTTGCTTGGATGCTATCGTTACTGGGTTACCTTAATCAGCTGTGCAGGGAAAATCGCTCATTCTAGGTGCCCTTGAGCAAGAAGCGGATATTACTAATGCAATTAAAATTTCCTATCTTTACAAATGATTTCCTCAAAGCATCTTTCGGTTAAAGTTTGAAGTGGTTCCTCTAAATAAATTAGTTGCTGGTAATCAAATGCAGCATTTCAAAGAGGGAAAGAGATCAAAGAGCGACCCTTGTAGGATATTGGATCTTATGACTCGGAGAAGTCGAGTACTTCATACACCAAATGTTTTAAGCGATTTTATCAGAGATAGGACAATGCTTCTTAGCCCCGTCATGGGATGACTTTTTTGCGGATATCGTGTTATGAGGAACTGTATGGAAAGAGAACCTATCTTTGACAATTCAACATGAATAAGAAACATCTGCCGTTCGAAACGATGATTCATTTTAATTGATAAATTAAGGACAATAATTTCCAATTTCAGTCTCGAAAGAAAGAAAATTAACCATTAATGAGATTGGAGTTTGACGTTTTTGAAAACAATGGCGCCCTTAAGAGTGCTTGTTCGTCGGAGTGTCTTTTAAGCTGAGAGCACTGTTCTCACGCATTTAGGGTTGCTCCGAAACTCGACCAATATTTTAACTGTTGATTCCAATCGCCTTTTTTTTTACAACTCTTTCAAGATATTATGCGCAAATGGTGTTAAAAAGGAAAGTAAGAATAGAAAAAAAAAAGAGAGAGACCGAAAGTAATAGAGGAGGAAAACACTTTAAATCCAAATGCTACTGTGTTCTTTACATCGTTTGCATCAACCACATGATGGAAACAAATGATTTTATAAAATTCGTCATATAACATTAAAAGCATTATTCCTGGGAGCTTTGTGTGTGGCGGTGTATTCAACGCGCTGAAACGAGATGATGCACCTTTTTTCGACGAAATTACTAAATGTGGTTATATAATTATTTTATTGTCTTTTGTTCCACAATGTATCTATCAATTTTAAAATAATTTAAAGCGCAATTTCCTTTGGCTCCCAAGTAATTGTTCTTTCGTTAAATTGATCTCTTCTGGAAATTGATAAACTCACGTTTCAGATTTTCAATTTAAGAATCAGAAAAACTGAAGCACGAAATTCTGGTGGTTTTGGTACCGCTGAGAAGAGAAAAGGAATATGAAAGAAACCGTGCTGTTGGTTTGAAAATACGAGAATCTTCAAACCGTTTTTCCATTCTAGCTGTGCTTGTCGATCCGCCCCTTTCCGTAGGTGCTTTCTTATGACGTGGTGTTCGCATTGAGTTCCTTTCTTTTACCTCAAAAACTTTAGATCGAAGAGAGGTAGGAAATCCTTGTTTGCCCTCTGGTTTAGAATCTAGATAAGGGATACCGCCATTTTCATCTTTTGAAAATCCAGATGTACATTAGCTACTCTTTGCCACTGAATAAAGTGGCCAAACGTCACCCAAAATAACATTGTGTGCGATTACAAGTTGTTATCGAAGTATCTTCCACAAAACGAAAAGGATAAGGTTATTCAAGTTTAATAATGTAGAAAATAAATTTGCGGTTTCCTTTATTAGTAAGATTCATTAACTGAATTCCCCCGAATAACTTCTACTACACGTACGATGCTGGTAGCACGTGCGGGATGTCAGGAATATCATGTTAAGTATATGGAAGCTGTTTAATCTTGGAAAATAACATATTTTTTCAGGAAGGTGTTGTTTGGCCTGTTTCGAATTTCATTAAAATTTCATATTTTCTCTTTGCAGCATGTGCGTCGAATATTCTTACTTTCTGTTAGTAAGCCCCGCTGATTAGTATAACCACAAAATATTTCGGAAACCGTCTCAAAATGATATCGGAAAGTCTTCTTAATGTCTTCATCTGAGGTTTTATAAACAAAATATACATACCACCGCTCTCTTTTTGCTTGTGAGAATTCATCATCAATTTCGGATTAATTAATAACCTTTCAGTTCAATAACCACGACTTGATTGTGTATCAGTAGGGCAGACATAAACTAGAGGAGCAATTTTCAACCAAACCGGTTATACCAATACGGGCGCAAATACATTCTCGTTGAATGTCATTCATCGTGATAAAAAAAACTAGCGTAGGATACTAGTCAATTTGCGCTGTCATTAAATTTTTTGATATATGTAGAGGAAACTGGCTATGTTTTAGTTTAGCAGCTTCGATTCTTACTCCTCGTCATGATTGGTTTCGGTTTTTATTTAATTTTTCCTTTTTCGGAGCAGTAGAAAGCTAATCTAAATACGAAAGAACTGAATTGCCTTTATAGATTTATTAATACTCTTTCGTTTCCTTCTCGTTTGAGAGTTGTGAATTCTGTGAAAACAACAGATGGCTATTACATCTAACGAAGCGGAGGGAATGACTTTCTTTTGTCTTGCCTAAGGAAATGTTGTACTTTGATGAATGAAATTTATCGCTTCTTTATTTGTCCGTAATTTGCGAGCGTTTATTCTTTTGAAAAGCTAAATACGCGACATAAAGGCAGGATGATTTGTTAGCTGTTGAGGATCCGAAGATTAGAGAGCAAAAGGTCGAAAAAACGGGGCAACAAAAACACAGCAGGACAAGTAATTATCCAGATTGAAAAATGAGCAGGACTTTGTCTCGCTTATTCAAACACAAAAAATGTAATGAAAGAAGAAAAAAGGGAGAAGCAAGACGCAGACGTGAAAAATTTTCTTAAAAACTAATCAGACAGGCTTATTTCTGTGTACTAATCCCAAGTTACACCAAAGCTTTGAAATTTATTTACTTAAAAGATAAGTATCTTTCTGAGAACGATTGGGAGATTTTTCTTATTTGAAGGTTTTTGGTAGTAATGGAAATCGAGCAGATTATCATACACAATAGTAATGATAAATCTATTGAAGATGTCACATTCAAAATGGAAATAGTAGAAAGTTTCGTGAATGCAGTAAAGCCGTTAATGTGAATGCTAATAATGTATGACCACTGACAAACTGAACTGGTTTTGCTCACCATTCTTACGATGCGTGTCATCTGTGTACCAGCACTACATTACTCTGTTCACCGCTTTGCCACACTGATTTATTGGAAACCAGACAATAAACAGTAAAATTGTGCATCTTTACTAAGTAGACAAAAAACAAATAATTTTATCCAGTACCTTTATTTATCTTCATTTTTGGCACTGATGAATATTCCTATTAAATCGCAAGTCAACTGTCCAAATCTTTCTTTATACTCATCCTCTCTACCATTCATCATCATTCCAACGAAAAGATAAGATATAACTTTAACGAGTACAAGTTAGGAAACAAGCGATCTAAAATGTTCATGAACGATATTTTCACACTTTGAACTATTTCAGGTGAAGGAAGATAGAGTACTTTTTACGACCGTGGAACAAAAGGAAAAGTCTTCCCAACACCATTCAATTTCAATTTCGCGTTCTGATACTGTAGAGCTGAGTTTCAGAAACCTCGTGGCGAGCTCGGCCGTGTCCTACGGGTATGCTCGCTTCATTTGTAACTTTAAAGCTGTGTCCTACAGAGACAAAGTAGTTTAATGCCCTCCCGTAAAATCTGTTTTCGTGTTGCTTGTTTTAGAGAACTCAACGAAGAGGGCATATTTTTAACTCACGCACATAGGCTACAATCTAGTTTGTAAGTTACTCTTTGTTCTAAGCTGTTATTTAGGAAACAAATGTTTAGATATACGACCTCTTTGTAAAGGATCGAAGTCAGAAAATATTGTTAGTGAACTGCATAAATCACGAAACTGGAAAGCGTTGAAGTTACAGGATTTTAATTATTAATTCTCTCTCTTTTAAGAAAAAAGATTTTGATAGAAGTTGAATTCTAGAACCATTGCGTGGTATGAAGTTACATGTTTCAGACTGCGTGGTATTTTCTCTTGCTTTCTCGATCTCTAGTCTGAAGTTTCAAAGGAATTTTCTACGGTCTGGTGACGATTGCTCTCAGCCTTAATTATGTCGACCTAAGCGTTGAAATCACGAATTTATAAGCTACAGACAGTCAAGTTTTGAAAAGAAATAAAAGTTCTCCAACTTTTGATCATTATTATAATTTTGGCTTGTAAAAGGTACTGGTGAAAAAACTAACTTCTGTTTAGATGTATGGAATTTTTAGTATGGGCTCACGCTTATTTTCATCGAGTCGCTTTAGTGAAATCATGTTTGAAAGTAGGGTTAAGATCGAGGAGTTTCCAAATAGTAAAAGAGTATCAGTAAAATTCCTCCTAAACCTCCATCAGATTCGTGTTTAAAGAATACTGGCATCGGCCTAAGAAAAACAACTTTGACACCACCGAAACTTCGTGAATACCTTTTTCGAGGCGCTTTAGGCTAAGTTGTCTCCCGCTCAACTGTTTGCCAAGACCGCAATTACGATCTAATGTATTCATTCTAATTGTTTGATTGTCAACAACACGTACGATGCATTATCGACGAAAAAAGTATGGAAAAGGACATTATTCTTTCAGCTAACGAAGGAACAGCAACAACTGGTGCACGGTCGAAAATCTATGAAAATCTAGGCTATCACTGAAGATTCTCGAAATCACTTGAAATCCTTGATTTGTTGTATCAATTAAACTTACCTGAAATCATAGTCGACTCTGTTTCAGCGAGAAAATCAATTCCGTCGCCCCAAGGCGTAAAATTGTACACATAAGTTAACCTTCGATTAAAGGATATCGTTTCAATCGTTGATCGGAACAATACTGATATTGTGCCTTACTGGAGTTACTTGAAATAGACAGAGGGCCAAACGAAGGCTGTATGGATAGTTTTGGTTTTCCTTGTACATAGTCTCGTTTTGACAGCGAATTGTGAGAAATTCAGGAGCTGACTTAGGTGGCGTAGGATATTTCTTGGCCGACGTGCAGTTACTCCACATTTCCTCAACTCAGCTCAGTGGCGTATGCATAATGTCCCAGGGTTTCTCAGTCTGAGCTGTAACTTTTGTTGTTTTAATATTACCGGGGACGCCAAATTACAAAATGAGCTCGTTTGGTTCAGCGTGAATTTTTTGTAAACCATGCTGTTGCTGGATATGAATTGTGCGAACCCCACAATTTCGTTTTTCTGTTAAATTCTGTTAAGCCAAGGTCCTTATTAAAGAAACTGCTTCATCGAGAAAAAAATAAACTAGATTTCTCAATTTCTGAAAAGAAGAATAAAATGTGTCCAACTAGTGAGTGGTTTTATGCCATCTATTTCTACAGGAAATTGTCTGCGTTAAATTATCATCCGACCACTTGTACATATCTTCCCATCGGATTCCGTGGATCGAAAATTCTCACGATCCGCCCTTCTACAAACCGCATCTCGAAACGAGTCCTTTTTTAGACTTCATTCATCCGGCCACAAGAAAAAGCCAACGCTTTTTGGGAACATTATCAGTATATTGTTTATTTGTTTTATATAAGAAATTGGTTACTAAACTTTTTTCGACTTTACTTTTCCTTTTATCGAGTTTTGTATATTATGTAATCTTGATCTCTTGCAAGACTTTTGCTTATCTAGTTTGAGTATAAGCGGAATCTTTTACACACCTTACTAAATAAATGGTCGTATTGTAACATGTAAACAGATAACTAGTGAAGTTTTTGCAAACAGGATTTTTAATTATTTTCACAAGTCTAAAACCATTATTAGTTGTGTTCCACTTTTTGTAAATATTAGTAAAGTACTTTGTAGAGTGTATTCTGGACTTTTCGATCTGGAAACACTCGCAGGGATATGAAATCAACAGTTATTATCCCCAATAATTCTGGAGATAAGCCAAGCCTTTTAGATGATTATTTTCAAGTTTTACTTCAACTAGAACTAATTTTTGATAGTTAGGAATTTTCGTTTCAAGAATGCAAGCTATGAGTTCCTTTTGTAGCCGTGCGTGATTTGCAGAGCCCGAATTGCCAACCACTTATCAGGGTCAATGATTTCGACCCCATTTGGATGACTTAGCGAATAGGAATCTATATTAATCGTTTGCTTTCGTCATCCAGTGCGAATTAATCAACAGTGGAACCTTTTGCTATTTTTATCATATTTCAGCTCTAAAGAGCAATCTACCAACGCAGAGCTATGTATCGTTGTGTTTAGACCGCGATTTGCGCGTGTGAACAAAAATAATCAGCGATGAATTACACTCTCATTAGTTACCTCAGATCGTGGTGTCCATTCAGGTTAAGTCGATTCGTAAGTCATCCGTGTAAGTGGATTTGCTGACAGCTTTCACACGAGCATCTTTTGAAAAACAACCGCAAAGACAAATGAAATGGATTGCAGTGTCGTACGGCAAAATTGATGGTCCAAATTGTAGTTTATTCTCCCCTTGCGGGGTCACCACAGTGCAGCTTACGCATAGCTCTAGCTGATGCTAAGCTGCGAAAACTCTTCTGATCTTGTGGAAGGGTTTTATAGCCATTCTCCGCCTTCGACTTTTAACCTGACAATGGCTAATTTGTTGTATATACAAAATCCGCTGGGCGCTTTTATTGTAAACTGCTGATTAAATTAACGAAAATTCCCTTTTGTTTTACTATAACTGAAGATTACACTGGAAGACTCGAGTCGAGAAACGAAAACTTTTTACCAAGACTCTGGAAGGCGCGGATGTTGAAATTTAGCATGAATGAAGTTAGTAGAGCCCGGAGCAAAATACATTTACATGAGGCACGTTCACAGGAAAAGAGAGAAATTAGAATTTATTCGTTTCCATTTCGTTGGGACACAAAAGTTTAAAGTCGAGCCATTGTTCTCTTTGCTGATAATGTCTTCTCAAGAGAGCATTTTCGACACCTTGCTTGTCAACCTGTCGTCATTAATCATTCGCAAACTAAGTGCGTTATGTAAATAAGGTTGTCTTGTTTGTGCTTATGGGGGCGCGATTTTTCCATTACCTAAACCAACCAGTAGAAAACGTTGAAAAGAATCTCATTTCCATTTGCCACAATAAAAGTGTGTGTTGACGTGTGATAAATTTCGGAAGCCACGCAAACGTTATCTATCTCTTCTTTTAATTTCGTGACACCTGTTGGCAGTGTTTGCTAAACTTGGTCTCGAGGAAAACTCTTCTTTCTCGAGCGGAGATCACTTTGCTAGCTGTAAACCCCACGCATAGTAAAGCCTAAACGGTGTAAAAACCGTGATAAGAATGTAAGCCCTTGTCTTAGAAGCCAAACAATGCCCGTTTTCATTTTTGCGTTCCACAAATGGTCGACGCAGGCTACATAACGATCGTTGAAGAGTCCAATTGTCAATGGCATAATAACGCTCCACCCATTTTTGAACAGCGAATAATACTTTGCTTTTTATAGTTCGCTTGAATGAATTCACAATATAATTAGATTTAGACTTCAAGAGTCAGCAAATTACAGATTAAAAGTGACTTCTCCCAAGAGGATAGTCATTAAGTATTAATTGAGCTACCAAATGTACGTAACACAGGAAATACATAAATTCACGAAAACAATGGGCCCACTAAAAGACTGTCCACATCGTTACGTAGGGGGTATAAATACGCGCGCGGAAGCGAAATCTGTCATTCAGATGCTTCGAGGATGAAGGTGTAAAACACCTCGAAACAGGTTTAAAGTAAAAAAGAATGGACGGTGCCATGAGTACGTTTGGTTTGCCACCGTTCGAACTTGGTCAAGATTTTAGTATTCCGCCTCATCTACGCAACCCGGAAAATTTTAATGCTCGCTTTCCTAATGCACGTTTTCCCAGCACAATTTCGAACATTTTCAGGGCCGGAGATTATGCCAGCAAGAGCGTTAGTGACGATCATGGTGGTCGCCACATGGATATGAGCAATGGAATAGAAGACATCTCCGACATTGGAGAGAACGAGCTTCCAATTTCTGTGGCCGCAATGAATGAACCTTATCTTACCTCGGGGACTACGACGCTTGGATGCACACAACAACAACATAGTTCTTTACACACCGCGATTCCGCCGCTGCAATCGTCCAATTTTTTCTCCGACCCCGTCACTTCTGAAGCGGACTCTTATTCAAGGGACATGCCATTCGCGAGTCCTATGGATTTCAATATAAAGAACGAACAAGAACCTCGATTTCACCTAAATCCAAGTTCTGCCATCTCAAGCATATCGAGTGCACTACAGCCCAACAAACCAAACATCATGCGTTCGATTTACGGCCCCAACTTAAATCCTTCTTTCCCAGATCCAGCCTCTCAATCGATGTACACTTACATTCATCAAACACCGGTAAGCAACGATTCAAAAGCCCCGCAGTTTTACCGACCGTTTCCCGGCTTCCCGCCCTTTGATACGCCAGAATCCATTCAAGATAATCACGGTTTTTCAAAGTCAGACGACAGCCGAATTTTTCCCCCGGTTCCCAGCAGCCACAGGCCTCAAATTATCGACCGTCAAAAGCCACAAGGCACCAACAGAGCGGACGCCCACGACGTTGAAGATGTTGACGATGCTAACCGTTGTAAAAACACAGTAGAAGGGACCAAAACGTCGGTACGTCGCCTCAAGAAGTGGTACAAAGACAAGTACGGCAAGTCCATCGACATGAACACTGTAACACGCCAAATGGCCCTTGAAATGTTGAAAGATTTCTTTCTCGAAATTCGCGACACGCGGCCTGGTAAAGAAGGAAACGAATACGAACCTGTGACGCTGACAACGTACAGAAATGGTCTGAGGAGATATTTTCTCGAAAGAAAGTGTCCTCCCGCTGTAGAAAACTTCGATTTGGCCGATCGAGAATTCGATGTAGTCAACTATGGCTTGGTGTCAAAGAGAAATGAGCTCAAGCGCAAAGGGAAAGGAAACCACCCAAACGTGGTTGAAAGCATTACCGAGGAGCAGTTGGAGAGAATGTGGGCCTCGGGAGCCATTGGCGTGCACGCACCGAGACCTTTATTGCGCCTTCAGTGGTGGATTAACACAGTCAGTCATGGAATAAGAGGACGCATGGCCCACCATGACCTAAGCATCGATGACTTTCGCATCTCTCGCGGCCCAGACGGTAAGATCATTATTGACCACATGAAAGCTGGTTCGAATAAGAGACCAAGGGCGGACGACGAGAAAGACAACCCTAGAAGCAAGAAAAAGTGCAAAGCCCGGGTAGCGGCCACCGATGGAAGCGAACGAGATCCCGTGCGTGCGTTCGAGGTGTACCTCCGTCACCGTCCACCTGGTATCTCGTCGTTTTATCTCACCCCCAAGCACAAGCCTAAGGGAGATATCTGGTTCAATAAAGTGCCCATGGGCAAAAACTCTATCGGCAGAATCATGAGGGAAATCAAGGCAATTGCTGGGATAGGATAATTTTCACTAGCTGAGAACTCTAATTTAATGAGAACTTTACTGCTGCTTCAAAGGTAGCAGATGAAACTTTGTGACCATTACAAAGGTCAATCTCCTCGCAAGAGACACTGAGACGGTTTCAAACCATTTGCCTTGAACCGAAGGACTGATACACTCGTAAGTAAATACTATAAATGGCTTCTGCTCTTTTAAAGAAGAAATCTTGAAATTTTTATATTACCAAAAATTATAAAATTTTATGCCACTAAGAGTAAGAGAATCAACTTTATGCGATACACACAAATAAATATATATCTATATATAAAATAATGTTTTTGGTATGTCATTGGGAAAAAGTTTCTTAAGTATCAACTCCAAAGCAGTGCTCATGGGATTTTTCCATCATTTGCTAGCATTTAAACCTAAGTATTTAATATATAAACTACTTCAGTAATAACCTTTCAGTGCTTACTTAAGTTTAGTTCGCGTTGCCTTTCAGTGATCCATTTATTTCGAAAAGAAAAACTCTTGAGGTTTGCAAGAATTCTCGAAAATAATTTAGAAACTTGTGGCTTTGAAAAGCTCAGTAAAGTAAGGTTTGGAGGCTTTTAAAAATATTTGAATGTCTCTTTGAGAGCATAGCTTTTTCATAGCGTCATCGAAGATCTCGTTTTAAAGCCAAAAAGATTTTAAATTGTAATGAACTCGTTATTGTCCTCGGGCGTTTTATCTTTTCTCTTTATCCATCAGGAGTTCAGTGTGTTTTTCAATGCACAAACTCCTCACTAATCGAAACATTCTTGACAAGTATCTTTTG